TTTTTATAATTTTATAAATTTTGAGATTTAATTAATAATTTTTTTTTTTTTTTACTTTCAAATAAATACATTATAGTGAATACATTGTCTTCGAAAAATATTTAACAATATGACTATTATGAAATAGGGACAAGATTATATGACACAATATGAAGTAACAATTACAACATTAGAAGAACACAAAAACAATTGGCAGAGGAATGAAAAATTTATTAATATGAAGAAAGAATACAAATATATTTTATTTTCTGTTGTGTCTAATTTATCTAACTTGTAATGAAAAGTCAACTATATATAAGATACACCGTTAAACCCTAATTATAGTGTTAAAAATGGAAAGAACTTCAAAAAACGCGTGGAAGAAAGAAAATAATCTTCGGTCAGAACAAAATGGCGCTCGAGCAACGTACCCGCAGCTTGAGCTCGTGGGTTGGTGGTGAATGAGCATCAAGCTCCCCATTTTAGGCGCTTAAGCGGGAGCTTGGGACTTATCGAACAGGAAAAAACGTCGAAATCATTCGTTGGTTCATATTTTGACCTCTTTAAGACCAATTTCAATAATCCACCAAAATCCAACCGAATTTGTGTCAAATTTCAACAAATACCCATAGTAAAAGTACTACGAAAAGACATCTATAAAATCAATATCCATTTTAGCATTCAAAACAAGCACAGCAATAAATCAATTTTGTTTACCAAATGCTAAAATGTTGAAACGATTCTGAAATAAAAGTTCACCAATAACCGTTTCATTCTACAACTGATTTTTTTTAAGCACAATAAAAATCGATTCACACCAACATCGAAACAGGCCTTAGTCTATGCGTATTTTTTTTCCCCCAAGAAACTTGTTTCTGCATGAAAGGTGATATTGTTTTGCTAATTTCAACAATTAATTATATCGAAGTATTCCATTGAAAAAAAAAAACTTCTCTCACATAATCAAGCGCAAAGACAACTAAGATTTATAACTCAAAATACTATAAAAATGCTCAAAATTAAGTGCAAAATGAGCAGTGGCAGACCCATCACCCGACGAGCCCTGACGGCAGCGCTTGCTGGATCCGTCGAGAACAATTTTTTTGTTGACAATGAATAAACATTTTAGATTATATACTTGGTAAGTTGTTTTATTTTCAAATATTTCTCGTAGCTCAACTGGTTATAGCTTGCATGTTCATATGGGAAGTCCTAGTTTCAAATCACTTTCCTACCACTTAAAACAGTGACCTCTCCTTAAGTTGTTGAGAGTTTGACCATTGTGGTACTCAATGAATTTGAATATGTGCTCTTCTTTCAAATTATACAAAACTTGGTCATAATATCATTTGGTGAATATTGCTAAGTTTTACAACAAAATTATATATGTTCANTTTCATTCTACAACTGATTTTTTTTTAAGCACAATAAAAATCGATTCACACCAACATCGAAACAGGCCTTAGTCTATGCGTATTTTTTTTTTTCCCCAAGAAACTTGTTTCTGCATGAAATGTGATATTGTTTTGCTAATTTCAACTATTAATTATATCGAAGTATTCCATTGGAAAAAAAAAACTTCTCTCACATAATCAAGCGCAAAGACAACTAAGATTTATAACTCAAAATACTATAAAAATGCTCAAAATTAAGTGCAAAATGAGCAGTGGCAGACCCAGCACCCGACGAGCCCTGACGGCAGCGCTTGCTGGATCCGTCGAGAACAATTTTTTTGTCGACAATGAATAAACATTTTAGATTATATACTTGGTAAGTTGTTTTATTTTCAAATATTTCTCGTAGCTCAACTGGTTATAGCTTGTATGTTCATATGGGAAGTCCTAGTTTCAAATCACTTTCCTACCACTTAAAACAGTGACCTCTCCTTAAGTTGTTGAGAGTTTGACCATTGTGGTACTCAATGAATTTGAATCTGTGCTCCTCTTTCGAATTATACAAAACTTGGTCATAATATCATTTGGTGAATATTGCTAAGTTTTACAACAAAATTATATATGTTCA